TAGATAAATGATAGATGAAAGATAAACAGATGGATGGATAGATAGATGATAGATAGACAGACAGACAGGTAGATGGCATTGTGCTACTGAGTAAGGCAGAGAGTGAAAAAATATTGCAAGTGAAGTTCTGATAATAAATAAACCTGAATTCAAATATTTGCCCTCTGATTTCTATCTTGATGATCGTTAATTGGGTGGGAGATGAAAAGTTCAGCTCTCCTTCTACTCGGGTTTGGGGGTCTTAATCTAAAACATGGTTCCTCAAGAATCCAAAGCAAAACCACACATCAGAAGATCTGGCCTCATTCTGAAATATAATACATGTCTTCCTCTAAAACATTTTCACTTCAAGTATTTTTAAATAATCAACTGAAAAAACTTGTAGATAACTTCATATCCAATTTTGTTTGTTTGAGTGAATGCATAGAAAACACAGTCATATAGTTTCAACTGAAATATAAAGCTTACCTGCAGTTCCAGAGAGTTCCACACTTAAGGTTCGTTCAATAGTCTTGTTCTCAAATGGGGAACCCTTGGGGTCACTGGAAGATATGGCACATTTATAAAAACAAACTGAAATGGAGTTGCTGTAGCCAAATGTATTAGAACCCCCTTCCCTTTCTGGAAATGGTTACATTTCTTAATACTTACTTTGGTGACTCTGGGGTCAGAGGAAGAGATAAAGTTGTTGGTTTGGCTAAAGCAAAAAAAAAGAAGAAACTAATTATAAAATATTGAGTTTTTCAGAATTGCATTATTTCTGCTACTCTCAACAAGGAAACAATGAGGAAAATGAAGATGAACCATGGAAATCCCTGAATACTGGATCAAAGTCAGACTACAGTTTATTAGGCCAAAACAAGTTCCAAACAACATTTGAGTCAGTAAAGTGTCATTGGAAAACACATACAAATCCAGAATTTCCTCTGACTTGTACCATTTCGTTAGGGACACAAATTTTGCATCATACCGTCAAAGAGAAATATTGTTTTCTGTTTTAATTTGGAATCAGTACACGGATTGTTTAAACAAGGAAACAGCAGAGTAACTACAAGGTGACAGAACGTTATGAATATTCAGTTGATTTTACTCCTAAAATGTATAATTTTATATCTAGCCCTGAGAATAGAAAATTTCAATGATGCCAAAGCTCAAGCAATAACCATTCTATTCAATGAAAATTAATTGAGAGATTATGACAAATTGTGGACACTGACCCAGATGGCTTCTATGGAGTTTGCATCCCAACTGGATAGACAACTGACGTAAGCGTCCATATGTTTATTAGTTAGGAAATCAATAGAGTTTTTAAAAACCTCACTATTTCCTTTCCTTCCTTAGGTATTCCTAAATCTTACTTCTTTTGGTGACATTTTCCAGGATGGAATGCAAGAGTAAGAATCTTCTCACCTAATAAGTCAACAACTTCTCCATGTCAAACTTTGCACAGGAAGAGGAGAAGAGATGACGAGAAGCATACTATGAAAATATATGATTATCTATGGAGATAAATGCATACAAGTTTTGGTCCATTTCTTCCTCGTTAACCACTTTCAGAAGGTTAAGATGTGAAATGAAAATCATAGAGTTGAAACAAAAATGGGCCTTTGGTATTAAAGGTTTTACTTTATGACTGAACACCTTGAGACCCAAAGATAATGCTAAATGGTATCTGCAGATCCATAAGATAGATTTTTGGCAGAGTTGGCCATAGTTATGTTTCTCCCTCCCATTACTGAAAAGAATCGTATTCAACACATTTTAAAGTAAGTTAATCAACCCTTGTAATTAAGGTCCTTTGAAATGAAAAAAACATTATTTATTGCCAAATTAGCCTGGAATTAGGTACTTTACTTGGATAAATAGGACTTATGTATTTAATTTGTAGATTTAGATTTAGTTTTTAAACAATTGAATGGTATATCATCTATCCGATGTGCATCCAGAAATATGAAACTCATGCTGTCTTCCACAAATTAAGTACATTGATTAATTGGCTTTTACATATATACAGATAAATGAGCTGATTGTACATTAATTTTTGACTATGCCTAATTTAATCAGCCTTTCAAAAAGAATGAATTTATGAACAGACTTTACTCATTTTTACGGTGTTTTGCTAATAACTAGGGTAATTTATACAGGTTCTACAGAAACTATAACCCAGTAAGGAACTATGAGCTAAATCACACAATAAATATACATTGAAAAATCAGAAACTGAGCTTCAGTTTTTGAGATGTACAGCAGGCTATTTTAAATGCTCACACCAACATTTTCAAAATTATGATAGAACAGGTAAGGCCAAGGGCTGCAGAAGAAGTAGAACTTGCAGCTGCCATGCACAGTGGGACCAATGCAGACAGGAAACGAGCCTTAGGAGGGGTGCAGTCCTCAAACCACCTTCCAGCTGGGTCCCTGGATACACATCCGCTGACAAACACTGTCCCTGGAGGCCCACTGTTTTAATTTACAAGGAATTTATCTGGTGTTTTCTAAGGACTGGCAGATCACAGGCTGCTTAATACTCTTGAGGGGAAAAATACAGCTCCTTCAAGCTATTTTTTTTTTTAACAAATACATTTGTGAATGAATAAGTGAATGAACGAATGGGACTTGAATATATTCTGAAGAAAGTTATCCTGAGGCAGCAAATAGTGCATGAGGTCACAACAGTACAGAGAGCACACCCCAACATAGGAGGAAAGGCTACCTCACTGCATCTTTTCTCTCCCTGTCTCTATTCACATGCTTTCTACTTTTTAATTTTGAATAATAACTTCAATAATCTTACAAGCTGAGCACTATTGGTTATTAATAGCTGGCCAAGTTCCATTTCTCTTAGGTCTTTAATAACTACTGGATATTTCTTTCAAATCAGCAGGCTTTGTTGTGAGAAGAGGCTTTTATGTCTTACCACAGAGCTATACCTTAAAAAAGTCTGCATGCAGCTGGTCTTGCTTAGAGAATATATTTTCCAGAGGCATATTTAATTTTCACTGCCATGATTTCTGAAAGTTTATAGCAATATTTAATGGTAAGTGAACCGTAAGAAAATCTCAAAATCCAAAAGGACCCTTCAAAAAAAGAGAGTACTTTAAACCATGTACTAATTGGCTAGCTTCCTCAAAAAAGAGTTCAAAGATTTTGAGTCATTCAATTTAGTTCACAAAAATGAATGTATGTCTGGGAATTGGTAGGGAGGAGCCCAGTGGATTCCTCACTCATGAGCTAGCTCAGTGAATCCCTTCTTGTAGACCTTCAACAATATCAGTTGCTCTGCTAAAAAAGGATAAAACAAAAATGAATTTAAAAACTATGATATAGCTGGGCAAAGTGGTACATACCTTTAATCCCAGCACTTAGGAGGCAGAGGTAGGTAGGCAGATCTGTGTGAGACTAAGGCCAGCTTGGTCTACAGAGTGAGTTCCAGGCAAATTGGGGCTACAGTGAGACCCTGTCTCAAAAAAAAAGAAAAGATAGAACTTGGGATCAGGCACCAATCCTGACAGAGGCAGCTGTAACAGAATTTCACCTATTTAGTTAAATTTATCTCCTCAAATTGATGGAGACGGACAGCAAATTCGACATATCCAGCAAAGAAAAACTAATTGAGAGCCTATTTGAAATATTAAAGGAAAGTTCCTTAAAGTCCTCTAATGTAGAGATAAGTCAGGGAAATTCAAAACCCTTGGGAAGAAATGCTTATTGAAATTGCACCTGCATGAATAATCATGGCTCAAAATGGTCATGGGCTTCCATCCTATAGCTAGAAGTTGGAGAAACAGGAAATACAAAAGTGCTGGATGTTGGAGCTGGAGTGATGGCTCAGCGGTTAAGAGTACTGACTACTCTTGCAGAGGACCAGGCTTTGAGTCCCAGCACCCACAGGCAGCTAATGACCATCCATAACTCCAGTTCCAGGGGATCCAACACCTTCTTCTGACCTCCACAGGCATTGCACGGCAGGGGTGTATTTACATGCAGCAATACACTCATACACATAAAATAAATTAAAAATAATAAATTAAATATATATATATATATATTTTTTTTAAGTGATGAATGTTCATGACTCCTGCTTTAGAATATGGTTTCTTCTGGGACAAGGTTCCAGGGAGAAAGCAGAAGCCAGCATATTTTAAAGCAACAGTTACTTTCAACAAGCTCCCTTTTGGCATCCTGGACTACAACATTTTAAGGGGAATGATATAAGAAAGAAAATTGTATCTCTGCCAAGAGAGATTTTTCCAAATCATCCCATTCTGCCTCTGAAGCATCATCCTCCAGCTACATATGGGACTAATAAAAATCAACCCAGATGTTTTGTTTAATCTGGATGATATTTTTTAAATACGAAGGGCAGAGAAAAATCAGGAATTTCCCAATCCTTACATACAAAGAAAAATCTCTAAGCATAGCAGGTGGTCTTAAAAACTAAAACAAGAAGAATGTACTTACTAATCAGAAAGACTATATAAATACTATTTACTACTTCTTAAAGTAGACAAAGAAAATCTCCAGTGCCTCATTTTTTTTCCATTACTGAAAGGGAAAATATAAAAACCCTGTAATGAATTGGCTAGCCCAGCTTGCATATAGCCAATGATCTCAGCCATCCAGAGGCTTGTATAAATCAAAGGTGTTGCAATTCCTGCCCGCCCCACTCCGTCCAATTAACATTCCCCTGCGCCTTTTGGTGGTTATGCCTTAGGCTGCCTATCAGTTCAGCCTGTGTCCAAGGAAGGGTGTCTTTCTATACAGCACAGTACTGAATTCCCTTTCCACAGGCAAATAAGATGGAGTGCAGGGTCCACGTGCTCAGACTCCACGTGCTTTCAGCTCTCCAATAGGCTACCTTCTGGTCCGCCCATACCTTGTGCATGGTGCGACTGGGATTGTGTGTGGGGCTTCTTTTTGGCGGAGCATTTGTCTCTGCTGCTGTTCCTGTTTTCTGCGTGTTTGGGGTGAGGAGGGTCATCGCTTGTGGTCAGATACTTGAGAAGCTCTGAGCAGGGACGTCTTTGTGGCTTTTGCTGTTGACAAATGCTCTTCGCTTTATTGCTCCATGAATTCTCGGTCTTAAAAACAAGGCATAAAGAAAGCTAAAATTAGTGAAGTGAACCTTATCAGAATGGATATAGGGTTTCTGAAGAGATGAGGTTTTCAGTGAAGTGTTCAGTCTAAGTGTGCTAGATCTATGAGCTGTGAATAATTGTTTGCAGAACAAGGAAAGAAAATTACATTTAAAATTCCTAAATGACATTTATGCAGCTTTTTATTTCATTTCTCCTACATCTCAATGTTCCTACTCAGCAACATGTAACTAACAAGACCCTACAGCGCCTTTACTGTGAGTAAAGAAAAAAAATAAGCTGTTTTAAACCTTAATTTACCACTGATTGCTGAAGCCCAGTATTCACAACTCTCTTAAGTACCCCTTAACGCTTCGTTTTCACTCACAGTGAATGGCAAGGCAAACATTGTTTAATACAACCCACTAACTGAATTATGCCATTGCCAGCATTTTTCCCAATTAATGGCAGAGACAGATCTTTTGCAGTGAATCCAAAATGATCTCTCTCAGGTTAAACAGTTGGCAAAACAGCCACCCTACATCTTAAGATCATCCATCGACAATAGCGAAATATATGTTCTGATCATCCGCAAAGCAACATATGAATGAACCCTTCCTAGTGCCCCTAACCCCAGTGTAGCTTTCCTAAACCCAATTCATAACTGATTCACCTCTACAAGGCAGCTACCAAAGCCCAGTTGAATTAATACGTATCAACTCATAGTCTGTTACACCGACTGGTGAAAAAAACCCTTCCTTACTTTCCTTCTGCATTAAAACGTTTGCGTTCGTACCTTAACAACTGCAGGGCTTGTTCTGATCCTGTGGTTGTGGTTTGCATGGTTCTGAGTGCTAAGACCGCTGCATTCATTGTAGCTCAGCTGAGTGTTGGCTGGTGCCAGTAAGAGCTTCTTGAGCTAGAAACACACCATAGTGGGGAAGAGCAAGAAAAGCCATGTATCTTTAAAGCTTCCAATTAGTAACTGAAATTTGAAAAAATTTGCTGATTGCAATTATAAGAATTCTATTTTTCCTTCACAATATCACACGTTAGCACATGAATGGTAAAGGAAGCAAAGTTTTATTTTAAATTAAGAAAAGGTTTATCACTATAGTATTAACTAGGAAAGTATTTCTTTTACCTATATTTGAGAGCTGACCATTTCATTGTCAATTTTTAAATGGTTATTACATAAAATAAAGCAACCATTCCTAAAATGATTTCTACAGAAGCACCACACGAGGTGAGAAAGGCTCCCTTGCCTACCACCTTGAGCACTCTTGCCCTCTATGTCCATCAAACCCAACTGATCATAAATGGAAACAGTCTGTGATTTCTCGAACCAGCTTCACATCCAACTATACAAACAGATGGATTTTTTTTTATATGTGTGGATTACAACAGGGGCTATCAGTGATTTCAGAAAGAAAAGGAACATTTGTAAATAGAATGCTGGTCAATAGCTTAGTTGTGGGGTATACCACACGCTAAGAATTATTGGTTTTGTTTGCTTGCTTTTAGCCTTGGTTCTTGAGTCAGAGTCTACATATGTAGCCCAGGCTAGGCTCCAACTGGTGATACTCCCACTTCAGCCTCTTGAGCACCTCCTGAACATCTGGATCATAGGTGTGCACCACCATGCTCTGCTTTAGCAGTTATTATTGATCTTAGCTTCTTCACTTGATGGGATGATTCTCAAGTGCTCCCCTGCTCTGACATGCAGAGTATCTTTGACTCAACAACCCCTTCCAATGGAAGAAATTTTACAAATGAAAATCAATGTAAAGAAATTAAGGAACTAGGTCATAGAGCCAATGAGATACGGAGAAATGATTTTCATGTGTGATATTCTCAGGAGCAGAAATCTTAAATAACAAAGGAAAATAAGTAAGACCTCCATGTGTGTGTAAAGTTCTTTCAAGCTTAGGTAAAGATTTGAAAGCATCAACCTCCAAATAGCATGCCAGAGTATTTTATTAAAGTTCGAACAATTGCATTCCATAATTTACACAGCTTTGCTCTTCCATGAGATTTATGGCAAATGACAAATAGCTATCAGAGATGAGAAGGTAAACTGTGCCTCAGAACTAATAAAATTCTGGTCAAACACTTCATGGAAAAGAAAAGTCACTCTCCACAGCCAACAAATTCACCCTCCATTGCCAACTGTGAATTTCAGTAATGTGGGTGGCAGATGTGCTATTCTTTCTCAATCATTTTAAGAAATGAAGATCTGAAGTCTTAAAATATTGCATAGCCCCTTACTGATTATTGCTATTTGTAGATTTATATGTGTAAAACATAAAAATTTGAACATTATTATATTATTTCTAACAGTAAAAAACAGAAAAAAACTCTAAACATCTCACCATAAAATTATATGACCTAAATTTGCTAGGGTATATATTTATAAAACATTTCCATAAAAAGTACTAAAAACTCTGCATGTTAAAAATGTCAATCAATGATATGTTCATCTAAAATAGATTTCAGTCATTTTGATGTGATAGGTTTTTGAAATCACAGGTGAATTTTTAAAAAGCCTCTTCATTCCAGATGTCCACCTTTTAAGTTTTCATCATGAACATAAAAACTCTACAACATAAATCATAGCAATATAAATAGTAAAAAATTAGTTTTGAAATTAACATTATACTTGGTAAGAAATTTATTGTCAATACTTTTAATAGAGAATTACAGAATTTGCAACTTTGAGCTGGCGTGTGGATGATTCTGGCATTAATCTAAATTAAAAGTCAAACCTTATTGTTCCTACACCATACCCATGCAGCGGGCAGCCAGAGGCAACTCCAATTGCTGTTAAACAGTAGGAAGGATTCTTACTAGAGACGGCTCTTCTGCCTCCTGAGGTGGAGGGGTGCCGTGAGGCATGGAGGAAGGACTGGCCTCGTTGTCAGTGGTCACGTCTCCATCTGTCAGTGCATCAAATGAGGGCAATCCGTCTTCATCCACCGGGAGACTGTCCAGTGTCTCTGTGAGGACTGCTAGCAAGTTTGCCTCATTCTCTTCATCTATCTTCTATAAAAGCAGAAAAAAATGTAGAAAATGTGAGTTGACATTAGGACGCCAGCAACATTTTTAATCAGCACAGGCTGAACGTGTCCAGCTGAGTGAGGAAACTCCATGAACTCTTCAATGCCCACAACAAGAACACACAGATGGTGTTATCCTCAAACTCGTAACTCGCTTTTTGTTTGAGTCATATGATTTACAGATACCACTACTGGTCTTGGGGCTGTCCAACTTAGCAATCTGTTATGTCAGTGCTTAAGATGCCACATGTAATTCTGTTGTCTTCACAGTCGTTTTCCACAAACTTATGGCTTCCTTTCCCCAACTCAGGGAGAAGACTTAGCGATATAAGTTCTTGAGAGAATTTTAAGCATAATCTACTCTTCATGCATAGTGCTCAGACCTCCCGTATAGCATACCACACCAAGAGAATCTACATACTTCTGTGATCTCAATTATAATCTCATCAGTACACACTCCAAAATCATTTATTTTTCTCACTGATATCTCTCCCAACTTTAGTTATAAATCCCTAAATGCCAACTGGACACTTCTACACTATAATTGATACCTGGTCTCCAAAACCCAAACTTTGGACCTTTTATAGTAAAACTGCTCTTTCTCTTGACTTATTTAGTTTGGCTATCAGTTCTTTACACTTACACTCTAGATTACCTGGCTATTTATAAAGAGGTGAGCAGCTAGGAGGACATTTCTTTGTAATGTCTCTTAACTACACTCATCTTTTGTGGCCAAGGGTAGAAATATAGCATAGCATTGTTTCTTGTAGAGATGCCTGCAAACTTGTCCTTCCTCCTAAACTCAATTTCACTGACACAGAAATCTAATCTTGAAACATGCCTTATGCCAACATTTTTGAGTGTCTTAGTCTTTGCCAATGTCATGATAAGGATTGAAGACACAAAGAGAAATGAAGCAGGGTTCTATCCCTCCAATGGGAAAGAAGAATATATCAACAATTTATTGTTATAAAAGATAGCATTGGGAACTGGAAAGATAGCTCTGAGGTTAAGAGTGCTTGGTGTTAGTGCAGAGGACCTGAGTGTGCTCAGTACTCACATCAGAGAGCCCACAACCACCTGAAACTCTAGATCCTGGGAAATCTGAGTACCTCTTCTGGCCTCTGCATGCACTCAAGTACATACACACATACACACGCACAACTTTAAAATAAGATATTAATTCTGGTTCTCTGTACAAAAACTAGACTGTCTGTATCATCTTAATAGAACAATGTGTTATAGTCCATGCACCAAATCAATCAGCCCAAAGCTGGGTATATGGAACACATGGTCACTGGTTAGTTTCTACAGAATTCATTGATTGCATTTACTGACAACAACAGAGACTGTGTAGATCACTTTCTTCTCTTTCAGGGTTTCTCATTGTTTGTCCAATTTGACCCACTTCCAAACTCTTTTTTTTTTCAAATTCTGTACGCTATGACATTAACAATATGGCTAAATTATCTCACACAGATTCCATTCCAAAACGCACCTAAGCTGCTGACATCTAACGAAGCCGGCAGTGCCCACACTCCCACTCTCACTAGCACTGAACTCCAGTTAATTGACCTGACAAAATTACAAGAAGATTTGCTTTTACTGCAAAAACAGAGGCTTTGTAGATCCCTTTCTTCTCTTTCAGGGTTTCTTATTGTTTGTCCAATTTGACCCCCTTCCAAACTCTTTTTTTTTTTCAAATTCTGTACGCTATGACATTAACAATATGGCTAAATTATCTCACACAGATTCCATTCCAAAACGCACCTAAGCTGCTGACATCTAACGAAGCCGGCAGTGCCCACACTCCCACTCTCACTAGCACTGAACTCCAGTTAATTGACCTGACAAAATTACAAGAATCACAGAATAAGACAGCTAATCAGAAAATCAAATTGTATTACTAGAGAAATTAGGCAGGGCTTTATCACGTAGACATTCTATTTTCACATAAAAAAGTGTTTTTCCTCATTACCGATCACTCTCCATCCAGGAATAAAACTACAGGTTTCATTTTCTTTGGGATCCAAGAGGCCAAGAAGAGCTATCTGTACTCATAGTGGATGCTAACGGACCTTTTACATTTGCAGTTTGCATATGCATGTCCCTGCTGACCCTGTCAAGTACTTGGGGCAAAACATAGTGTGACAACTGGATGAAGTTTTAAACTAATGAAAAAGAGAAACCCTAGCAGAAATAAACAGCTCCCTTCAAAATGGCACATTCACCTCCATCAACTAAGCAATTTACCAAAATCTAAATTTTACAATAAAAAATCTTGTGGAACATTGTCTCAACCCTACCCTAGACCCCCAATTCCTCTGAATCTCAATAATAAAAATATTAAAAAGTGATCCTTGTTTTCTGCCTTAGATCATAGTGCAATATCCAAACACTCTAAGTACCCAGTTTTCTAATATCAAAAAATTCTAATTACTCTTCATGCCAAAAAACAAAAACAAAAGCAAATTCAGGTCACTAAATTTTTCTCAATAAAGTTACATTTAAATAAGATTTTTAAGAAATTTTTATTAAAATAATGGGATTTGTATTACTATAACTATGTCTATATTTTCTGATAAAATAATCTTGAAAGTATCTCAAATACATATGCAAACCCAGAAACATATGCACACTATCATTGGATGTGCTTTGCAGATACCTTCCCCATTTTTTAAAAAGGCTCATTTCACAAAAAAAAAGAGCTCATGAAAAATAGTTAAGAAGTGTTTACCAATAAATGAGTAATTTTGTTTACCATGATTTAAATTTTGTGTTTGGCTTTCCAGCGATACTACAAGCTGCTATTTGCTTTCAATCACAGAATACAATAGCGCCTCAGCTCTATCCCTTGTGTAAACAAACTCTGATAATTCCAATCAAGTCAAAATGACAAAGAACACTTAAATTAACTAGTTTCCTCCAATTTCTTTAATAAGACTGAGTGAATGTATACTGCACACAATAGCAGAAATATTGAAGCTTGATAATGTCATAATTAATTTACAAGATCTGATTAAACCACCAACTACTTTAATTCTCCTCTCTCCTGGAAACACAATGGAAGGGGAGGACTATAGGAAGGGAAATTGGCACAGTGTGTGTGTCTGTGTGTGTGTGTCTGTGTGCGTGTGTGTGTGTGTGTGTGTGTGTGTACACTTGCTTGCTGAGAGAGTTGAGCAGGGAAAGCCACTATTCAGCCAGTACAAACCAGTAATTCAACTCAAATTCATTGTGTGTACTCTGTCCATTCAAAATGACTATTAGGTTCTTTATTATCCTCCCTGGATGCTCAGAAAGGTGCACTGAGACCATGTTAAAGTTCTTCTTGAATTATGGAAGAAAGCATTTTATGATTTTTATACTCTCCATATTTTCTTTAATTATAGGAGTCTGAGAAGAAAGCATGGCAATTATTGATGTTATATTTCCATATCAAAGCTCCATACAAATTCCTCCATGTAAAGTTGAGTGGACACTGTCCCCTCACTGTGGCAATTTCTATTAGTTTGGTGTGAATTTCAACAATCACTGTCCCAGAGAAGGCAATGGATGTGACAAGAGGACTCCGTTAAACAATTAATGTCACTTTCCATCATTGCTCTGGTCCCAATTTACAGAGCAAATAAATCAAAGTCACTGCAGATGAAGCACAACAGTCTCTAAGTACATGTCTGCTTGCAAGTGACAGGGTTTGGATTCGGAAGACAGTGCAAGGTAACCTTTCAAAGCCTTGGACCAGATACAGCTCCCCAATTGCTTGAAATTACCATTTTATAAAAATGCACTTCTTGGCTCCATCTAAAAAAAAAACAGAGAAGTAGAGAGGTGAGGGTGGAGGAGCAGATCACCACCAACTGGGTGGGAATCTACTGCTCCAGCAACAGAGCTAGAGGAGAAAGGCAGGTTCCAGGCCAACAGTCCCCTGCACAGGTGCTCTCTAGCTATCAAGGGCATTTCCTGTGGAGGGGGTTGTAACCTTGGATTCTCCTTACACGGTATGATTCTTCTGCTTTTCTTCTGACCTAAATAAAGCTCTGTGTGCCTGTAAAACTCCACTCTCCAAGGGCTCTCCAGGAAGAAAGAAGGCTCAACAACAAAACCTCACTCCGGGTGTAAAGAATTTCCAGTGACAGATGATACACAGGCTTTTATACTGACAACCCAAAATTTAGAATCCGCAACAATTCCTAAGCCATGCCGCATCATTAATAAATGATGGTTTAGAACAGTCAACAGAATTTGAAGACTCATCACTGCTCTTTGGGACTGCCATGTCCTGAAATGACCTGTAGTAAGTGCGACATGATCCAACAGGCACAGCTAAAAAAGGTAGATTGTGGGGCTCTGAGTGGCCAAGGTCACCTGAAGACTGAAACCTCATGCATGATTTGAGCTGGACTGCCATGTGCACAGTAGCAAAAGGATCTTCCAACTGGTCTGGAAGACACAGTGTTGGGACAGACAGAGCATTCAGCTTACCCAGTTGCATACCCTAGAGAGCAAATAAATCTACTCAATCAAGGAGGAGATAAGGGACTCAGATGCTAACTGACACCTGGAGAGCAAAACACAGAGGAAAACTGAATATGGCATCCCAAAGCTTTCTAAATGCAGGCCATTATGGAAGGACCATGTCTGCTTATGATAGTCATTTTTCCTGCATCTTGTAGAATTGCAATTACACTCTGCGTCCCCAGATTCTCACACTCGTTTGATCTCTGTTTGATAAAAATAGTTTAATAGCCATTTAATCACAGCTTCATTATCTTAGCGCTCTTAATGCGAATTAGGCCACAAGAATCCTAGCTTCCTCATTATTCAAATCATCAATAAGAAGGAAACAGGGGGGCCTTATCACTCATTAATCAGCTTCAGTTTCTTAGGAACTGTTTACTCAGAGATCAATCTGTGTGAGAGGTCACTTAACCTAGCAGTGTCTCTGTTATTCCTGTACAAAATTTCAGCTTTTTCTGCCTCATT